TGACGACGATGATCAGAACATTCTAAAAGAAATAGCTGCAGCCAACAACAACAACAAGAGGAAGAATAATAATGAAACATCATCGTCTGGCTTAAGAGGAGGAGGCTTAGACAGGCACTGTAAGGTCGAGCAGTTTTCGTCCAACCAGTCTATGTTTAGCTTCTCCCAAGACACCGGATTGAGCACGGACATGAACACTACCGAGATATCATCATCATTTATTTCAAAGCAAGAATTGGGCAGCACCAACAACTCTTCCTATGATCAAGATCCATCTGTTGTCCCCCTTTCCGACATTGAAGGCTTGTGGGACTTTTGACATTCATTCAAAAACAAGTCCTTCTGCTAATTGGGATTATTAAGGGTTTAAATTTTTTTTTTTATTTTGGTAGGGAGATTAACTAGTCAGAAATTGATGTTGCTGCATACACGAATACTGTATACTACTTTCATGGTTTCCGGGGCCATTTTAATTTTCATGATTATTGTGAACTAAACTCATGTAAATTTTCTTTTTTATTATTTAAATTTATTATTACTACGGTTACTGCAATTCCTCATGTTGTAATTTTGATTTGTTAATTTGCTTTCATCGTTTTTCCTGCATTTAAATTTTCTAATTTGTGATTAATTGTGTTTGAATGGAATACGCAAAAATTTGTGGCACAACTTTTTTTATATAAGTTTTTGTTGGACTCATTCAGTGATATATTTTAATGATTCGAACCGTCTATCTTTTATAATATAATTCATAGATCATTACTACAAAAAAATGGAGTCACGAATTCTCTCCCGTATATATATATATGTATGTAGTGTGTGTGCGTGTGTGCAAAGTTAAGTAAAACAAATGCTAAATTAGTATTGGAATGCCAGTACTCCATATATATGTATATAGACCTGGTGCAGAAACCTAGCTCGTTGAAATATTTGAGAGAATTAGTTGAGACGAAAGAAATGGTGATTTAGATATATCCATTATGAATCACGTGCATTGTTCCCTGAATATTTGCTCATGTCATGCAGCAGATGCTCTTGGCCACGAAAAAGGTTTATTCGAATTCGTTTCGTTGAAATAATTGAATTAGCATCAGCCAGCTAACTTGTTGGTAACAATCATTGGTTTCTTGCTTCAAAAACGTACGCCATAGTAAATCTTTTGTCAAACGAAACTCAATTAATTATTACATGTACCTTAATTAAATTACTTGGACTTCGATCTTTCTTCACATATGTTATGCTTGCTTTTTATCGTGAGCTCATCTGTCCATTTAACGTGTTTTTCAGATGTATATGTGCTCGTTGGCATGCATGTATGTTGTTGCTAAAGTGATTAATTATATATCAAACTCATCATCTAAGTAAGTTGAGCCTAAAATCTCATATTTTTTGGAAGCATAAAAATACTAGTAGACCATAATATTTGTGGCATGTATATAAAATTGCTTTGTTAATTTGTATGCTTTTTTTAGTATTGGGAACTTTGTGTAATTAAATAGTTAATTAGAATAAAATTGGCTTGATTTGCATGTTGCATATATAACTTGCATGTATGGTGTCATGTATATGCTTTATTTCATCAGGCGAAAAGCTAACAGTAAAGAAAAAAGATAAAGATTAGGAGAAAGAGATAGCCCTAACCACTCACTTGTTATATTTTATTTAAATTAAATTTTGTAAACTAAACGATATGTTTATTAATGATTGAGTTATAATTGAAGTGTTAATTAATGTACTTAATTCATATTGGTAACACATCATTTGGTTTAAAATTTTGGCCGACTTAGCATTACCTATGAACTCGTTTGGATGTGCTTTTAAAATGACTGAAAGCACTTTTGGTAAAAATATTTATAGAACCAATCTTTATAAAAATGTAAGTAAATCCTAGAAAATCACTTAAAGTGCTTACTGGAATAAGCATATAACCCAAAAACATTTTTTGTAAAAACGCTTTCAGTTATTTTAAAAACACATCTAAACAAGTCATATATCACTTTGTTGACTTTAACTTTTCAATCCCTAACTGGTCACTTGAACACAAATGCTTTCAACAAGGACAGAGCAGAAAAGAATAAATTAACTTGCCGATTGAAGAAAGCGAATTATATTAGCATTACTGAAATCACACTTTTAATCGATATTAGAAACGGAAGGAGAAATGTTGATGAACAATGAATGCTTTTCATCATGAATGATGCATGATGAAGATTACTTTTCATGTGATCGATATTTATCCAAAACTTATTTATGCAATAGAATTTGCTTTGCCGCCTTTCATCCCGGAAAAAAACTTGACTTTTCATTCAAAGCAAAGCGTCCGTTGGATTTTGATTCTTGCAGGCAACTTAACCGCCCTTTTATAGCTTTCTTCGCTTGTTTGCACTTTACACTTATAGACAACGATGTGTGTGTCTGTATACACAGACTATTTTTGTTAATTAATTATCTTCCACTACTGAAATAAAATATAGCAAAATTATATTGTGTTGAGCAACAAAATATTTCAAACGAAGAAACTAGCTATTTAGTTTCTAGCAGCAGCAGCGTAGGCTGATTTGTTGCATGAGAACATGGAGATGGTGGTGGCTGGCTGGCCCTCTACAACCAATCCCCCTCTCCTGCACACTCTTCTTAGTCCTTGCTAGGTCTCTCTTCTATTTCCTATTGGAATATTTTTGCTCTCACCCTTAAGTAATGGTAATGTCCATCACTTTATTTATTATTGTTGAATGAGTTTACTCTGTTTAACAGATAAACACAAATTTCAAAATTGAAACTCATCCCACGATAATAATTAAGATGATGAGTATTACTACCACTTGAGAGTAGTGAGCAAAACTGCACCCATTTCCTATATGTATTGTGAAAACCAACTTCTTAATTGGGAAAAGGATCCTCTTCAAATCCTTTTTATGGGGATCCGGGGGATCAATTAATCATGTATGTTCATCCTACATCGTGCGGTTAGAAATCATTCTAAATTTTAAATTTAAATTTTAAATTAAATATAAATAATTCCTAATGAAAATTAACTGCACGATATACAATGAATGAACATAATAGATTGATCCCTCGAATTCCCACAAAGAGAATCCGGAGAAGATCATTTTCCTCTTAATTGTGCTACATATTTGGGGTTGACATATAGTATTATTATATTATGCATACTTATAATTTATCATGCCACATGCCTACCCACATCTGCTTATGTCATATCATATGCACCATCACATCATCTTTTCATTTTTACAATCCCACCTACTTTAACATTCATCGGTCTACTACACTCAACTAATTATTATATTGCTTCAATCGTCCCATAATTTACCGAAATCTAGCATACGTTTCTCTTAAGAAATTAACCAGCGACTTGTTCCTAGTTAAAACTGTTACAAACAATGTTCACACACACTTAAATTTGTATACAAAATGCAAGGGACACTAAACTCTGTAAATCACAACTCAATTATCTCTTTATACGCGACTTTGCAGGATTATTAAAGATGGCTGGTGGGATGGGGGGAGAAGTGTTTCACAGAGCTGCAATGGCAGAAGCGGCGGTTATTCGTGCAGCGTTGAAGTGTAGGGACCTGGGTAGCGACAAGGTGGAAGTAGAGTCTGATGCCCTTTCTATTATCCAAATGTTGAGGGGAGAGCGCTCTATTGATGCAAGTTTGGAGTGTTCGCTATTTGATATTAAAGCCTTGGCGTCTCAGATTAGGGAGGTGAATTACATGTTTGTTCAACGGAGTGGTAATCTCGCTACCCATGCCATGGCTTCATATGCAACCTTGCTTGGTGGCTCTTTCTTATAAATGCCTATGCCCTGAATTTCTATCTAATATTCTTTCAGAAGATGTAAACGTTTTTATTACAATTTAATAAAGTTTACCTTTTGGCCAAAAAATTAAAAGTTCCAATCCTTAATGATGTATGCTTCGATCCACATGTATTTGTAAAGACCTCATCCATAAAAAATTTAGGAAAACTAACGAAAAGTCCAAAAAAACTTCTCTTTTAATGAAAAGCCTTTTTTAAAGGTATAGTGAATAGTACAAGGAAAGTTATAAATGTAGGCTTTCATTAAAAATAAATAGTACTAGGAGTGTTTTGTTAAATCTCTCTAAAAAATTTCACAAATAATCTTTATTTGAGGGATTTAGTAGGGGTATTTATAGGTTTGAAACGATTGAAATGTAGCCCATCCGCATCTAACAAACGTACATTGGACTGTTGATTTTACAATTCTGCGATCCAATCCAACCTAATTCAACTTTACATTGGATAAAAAATAATTACTTGATAGGTCTTTTCGGGAAATAACTCTTAACTATGCAGCATGCTGTTTTCCTTTGCATGGTAGTCCTCCATCCATGCCATTGGGCTTTGCCTGCGATTGATGATATAGGTCCTATCCAGCGTCGATCCCTATCCTAGCTAACGCATTTAATTTGTTGGTCCTCTTTCTCTAAGATTTGATAACATTTTGTTATTTAATTGTATCCTCTCTTTTTTGGGTAACCATTTTAATTTTTATTCTACATTCCTCTACATACTAAGGAAAAACTAAAACTAAAAACTAGAACACAAAATGCAGAGAACTTGTAGCTCACATGGTTTAACAACTCAACCAAAGTCTTAGGTTTGATTTTCCCGAATTCTCCAATATGAATTGTTTCAAACCGGCCCTAAAATAATCCACAACCGGCAAGACACGCAGGTTTACGCAGCTAACCTAAGGGATGAGGAGATATATACTTGGGAGAGTCTCAAGCATTTTGCGTTCAGCAATGCTATGCTATGCTTTTGTTAAGAGTATCAGGTTCCTCGACTCCAACTCCTCTTTTTCATGTCTTTTACTTGTCTATGCATAAATATAATCAACCCCGACCCCGAGTGACTACCTCTGCTTCCTTTTTCCACGTGTGTGTGAGTGAGAGACAAATTTCATATGCATAAAAGAAAAACACAAACATTTTCCGCATCAATGAGGAACCGACATGCTTATTCAATCAGACAAGTTGAAAATGTTTACCGCGCGCAGGCAGGCCAGGCAGAGGCATGTACTAGAACAAATGAGTTTGTAATTTCCTCAAGTGATTAAATTTAGCTAATGCCAAATCCCCAGAATGACAGCAATTCCAAAGAGGATTGCAAGTGTAGCATTTCCCCCTGGTAAAATGTTGGATGACCTGCACCAACTGCGTAAATCAAAACATTTAAATTAAACATGCACACACATACACTCTCTAGTCACTCGGTACTGTTAATCTGTTACTGTACAGGGAAAGCATTATCCAAGTAACAATTAGCATTATCAGACATAAGCATAAACAATGTTCATTCCTTATATCCTTTTAATTTAGACCAATTTTGAGTGTCAAATCTCAACTAGGAAACGCTGGCGCTACCTTGATTTCTTCCTCGATTGGTGTATGTAAGCCATTGCTGGAGGGAGGATGCCAAACAGAAAACAGTTTGCATAAAGTCCGGCGAAATCAAGAGCTCTGGAAAAGGTGGAGGGAAAGAAAGATGCTATGAGCACTGGAACGCCGAGCACCAGCGGCATTACTATCATATTAATGCTCGATCCCGGTTTAGAATCAGAAGCATCAATACAACGCCCTGAACCTGAACCGGTGGTAAAAGAAGCCCTCCCTGCATTTCCAATATTATTATCATCATGCCTCATTTTTGAATAAACAGCAAACCCAACTCTTCCCAGACCCTTGCCTTGAGAAGAAGCTACTCCTAGTTGTTTATTTTTGAGGTTGATTTTTGCAATCAATTCCACAGTATCAAGAAGCTGTTTCGGGAAGCTAACAGCGTACCCGATCAAGCTCGTTGCCAAAGCGGAGAAAGGCAAATGCTTGCACTGCAGACAGATTAACGGAAAGCAGAAGGGATATAGGGTCTCCGGCTGCTGCTGCGGCGTTGGTTCCGGATCCAGAAAGCCCCAACACAATCATCAATGGAACAGCCCCACCAATGAGTATGGCCTTGCGAGCGTCGGCTACAGTGTTACCAGCAATCTTGCAAATAAAAGGGGTGATGACATGGAATCCGAGTGTAAGGACGGGGACCGGAAAGGCGGGCAAAATGGAGGAAAGACGCCACGAGGTACGGCCAAATGAAGCGAACAGGTTGGTTCTGGCCACGGATAAGCCAATGGCCACGAGTGAAGTTATGGAGAAGCATGAGCAAGCACAGAACACGGTTTGCAGCATCAATGGCATTGAAAGGAAACAAAAGAATGAGCGATCCGGCCGCAAGGGGAAATAAAGCGTGAGCGAGTACAAGATTGATGCGGGGAAAGCACTGGGAGACAATTGAGCCGATGCCGGAGACGCAAGCGACCAACAAGGCAAAGCTCAAAGAGGCATAGACGACAGCAACAAATGCGCCAAAACGACCACCGAATGCTTTGGAAGCAAGGGCGGTAAAGCTGACCTCTTGAAGGGCGTCTTGTTCCATGGCGAAAAAGCTGAGCTCGGCGACGAGGATGACGGAGGAGATGACATAGAGCCAACAGAGGAGGATGGCAAGGGTGGAGGGGAGGGGGCCGGAGCGGATGGTAGCAGCGGGCAAACCGAGCATGCCGGGACCAACGACAGTGCCGATGATCAGAGTGACAGCACCCCAGAAGCTCTTGTCTTGTTGATGGAAATCATTACTATTGGCTGCTGCAGTTGAAGTAGAAGAAGGAGTAACGTTGTGAATGCGGCGGCGGCGGCGGCATTTGAATTTGAAGGTGGTTTTAGCATTGATGAAGTTGCAGTTGTGAATGCGAGTGAGATTGGGATTAGTGGTGTTGGGATCAGTTGGAGTGAGAAGGGGGTCGACTATTCTTGCAATTGGAGTTGTGGTGGTAGTAGTAATTGGGTTTGTATTAATGGATGGGTGGGGAGGAAGTCCAGCACGAAGCTGAAGGTGGAGTTGGAGCATATTTGGAGTCGCCGCACCAGGCATCACCACAAACTTACAAATGCACGCACACGGGGGATTCTGCTTTTTGTCCAACGCTCCTCTTTCAGCATCGCATTATGGTGTGGGCTGTGTGCTTCTTACCCACCGGGCTTTAAAATGACACCCCCTTCCCTCCGAAAGAAAATAATGAACGGGCCTCACCTCAGCAAATCGTGTTTGGGGTCCTTCGCCTTTTTTGAATTTTCTCTTCTTCTCACTACAGACTTGTTTTTACACACTTGTTTCTCACCAAAAAAAACACACGCACTTGAGTTACACATTTGAATAAGAGTTTGTTAAATTATTTTAGGTTAAATGATGTAACAAATCTTATTCATATGTATAAAATGCGGATTTTTGATGTGCACTAGAAAACCTTTCTTGTTTAGATGTGTTTTTCCATTGAGAAGTTGTTAAACTTACACACTCAACGATTTAATCAACACACATCGTCCTTGAATATTTTAAAAGGGCATTGTAAGCGGTTATATGTGCTAATTAGAGTTTTAACGAAAAGATCACGATACTGTTCATTTTAATGAAAAACCATATTTTTACACTAAAAAATCAATCATGATATTATTCACTTTACCCTTTATTTTGTCCTTATCGTTAAAACTAAAAATTTTTAAACCATTTTCATTAGTTTTCCTTACATTTTACGCCCTCTATAAATCTATATTTTAGAAACCCCTTCAAACCTTGTAAAATATAATTAGCTCTAATCGTTTTTTATACAATATTCCATGATAAAATTGACTTGTGGATTGAGATAGCGAAGAAGCGACCTTGAAAGATATTTATCTCAAAGAATATCCAATTTTCCCTTTAAACTCATTTCCAAAGATGGAGGATTCAAGGGATGAGGCGGTGTGAAGTATCGCCACGTGTTTCAAAGACTCTCTCCTTCGAATTAAAATACGAAGTAATCCTTATCCAACGCTCTGTCTACAATTTTATTTCCGAGTCTACACCACAAGCTACGTTGAACCACACACACAGACCACAACTCCTGTTAACGTTTTGTAACCGTCCGATTAAGTAGCGACGACATAACGTACGGTTAAACAAGAATCCAGACAAGAGCGTAGATTTTACTGTTGTTACGTGGAAGGAAGTTCTCCTCCGTTCTCGTTTCTCCTTTTTCCCCTTCCCCTTTGAAAACGCTCTCAAGTTTCCCACCCTCGTGCTCTTTGCTTCAAACTTTGAGCCCTTTCCTTCCTTTCCCTTTTCGAATCCCAAATTCTCAAATCTCAAATCTCAAGTCAATCAAATCAAAATTCGCTCAATTATTATTTGTTGATTGTTTGTTTGGGGGTTTTGTATCGATCGATCGATCGATCGATGGCAGAGGTTTTGAGCAAAACCAGTCTGTTGTCGTCCTGGCATCATCATCAGTATCATCAAAACAATCAAAGCAGCATCTCCGTTTTCCCAAAGAGTTGTAATTACAATAAATCAAGGTCTTTCTCTTGCTCTCTCAAACTGAATCCGGAGATTTCATCACTATCGTTATCGACAAAGAGTGATTTTCACGGCAAAAGGATTGCTTTTCAAGCCACCAGCATCAGGAGGAGTTCCCAACCCCACGCTTCTTCTGCCGTTAATTCCCAGCAGGTTCGTTTATTTCTCCTCATATCCTTGTTCTGAATCTGATTCCCCTGCTCTGCTGGATTTCAGATTTTATTGGTCATGAGTAATGATTTTTCCCCAAATTTAAATCGATTTTCCGATCAATATTTGATCTTGAAAGTCACGAGGAGATTAATGGTTTTTTTGGAGTATTTATCAAATATAGCAAAAAATTAACCACTAATTTCAAAAATATCACTTTTTATAATATCTTTAAAAAATCTAAAATTCCACGTAAACAGACCCAAACTCTCTCAAATTTTAACAATCAAATAAATAAAAGACTTTTTAGTAAAAATAATTTGTAATATTGACATAACTCAAGTATTTATGTATATTTAAGTAAAATTTTGAATATATTTGAATTTTTTTATAAAAATTGATATTTTTGAAATTAAGAGTTAAATTTTGGCTATATGTGATAAATATTTGTTGGATAAAGTTAAAAGACCGGTTTGTTTGTTTTTGTTGTGGGGGGAATGGAATTTAGCAGTCTGGACTTCGGATTGGCAAAGCTCTGAAATGGTGGGAGAAGGGGAATCAACCCAACATGAAAGGGGTGGCATCTGCGGAGGACCTAGTGGAATCCCTTTCAAATGCCGGGGATAAGCTGGTGGTCGTTGATTTCTTCTCTCCTGGCTGCGGTGGCTGCAAGGCTCTTCATCCCAAGATATGTCAGCTGGCAGAGACGAACCCAGATGTTCAATTCCTTCAGGTGAACTACGAGGAACACAAGTCCATGTGTTACAGTCTCAATGTTCATGTCCTGCCCTTCTTCCGCTTTTACAGAGGTGCTCATGGTCGCCTTTGCAGCTTCAGCTGCACCAACGCCACGGTTAGTATTTGTCTTTCCTTCAATTGGTCTCTGTTGAGTTTAATATCGAAAGTTCGAAACCCTATCTATTGGTATTGGGGTGTTTTCCAAATAGCTGAATTCGAATTTAAATGCCACTTCCTCAAGAGCATTTTGTGTCTTATTCTATCTTATATATTGGTTAGCTGTGGTTTTTTCTCTCTGTGGATAATGCTTGTTGGTCGGATGGTATTGGCAAATAATGTGTGTGTGTGTGTTTGTGTTGGTGTTGTTCCCTGATGGTTGTTGTGATAACATGATGAATGGCATTGACTTGGCAGATCAAGAAGTTTAGAGATGCATTAGCCAAGCACAAACCAGAGCGGTGCAGCCTTGGGCCAACAAAAGGGCTGGAGGAGAAAGAGCTCCTAGCTCTTGCTACCAACAAAGACCTCTCATTTACCTACACTCCTAAACCAACAGAAGATGTGCCTGCCAAGGAGGAAGTGATTGTGGCTGAAGAGGCACCATCTCGTCTTCCTCTTGTGTCGGCAACCTCAAAGTCTGCTCAAGTGGTCACTGCCTGGAGGTAACAGTGGCACATACAAGCAGTTGAGAGTTGAGAGCTGCGGTTCTTTGGAATTGGTTTTTGGGATCCAAGCCTGCGTGCAAAAATCATGTGTTGTAAATTTGAAGAGAGCAACCAATTGTATTTCGGAATGTTGGTCCGCTCTTATCATATCCTGTGTGCAAGTGTGTATGTAATTAAAAGCTTCCTGGTCTTCTTGTTCTATAAGTAGTCTTGAGCCAGTGGGAAGATGGAAGATCCTTGACACTCCTCTCCTCACCTGTTGTTTTTACTGGGGTGTGGCATCATCATATATATGTATGTGTGTATACAAGTTAATATTTGGGATTTGAAGTTTGAATGCAATGTTGACTGCTGATTTTATGCTGCACTGCACCCTTACCTCCGCATTATGCACATACTAAAACTAGAGAGAAGATAATGAATGAATTAGTGAATGCGGTAGATAGACTAGTTCTTGATAAACACACACACACACTTGGATTGAATGCAGAGCGGATCAAAGTGTATGATAAAAAGTTTTGTCTGGAAACAGTTGGAATGCAAAGATTGACGCTTGCTCCCTGTTTGCTTTGCAACATTGGATTGGATTGGATCACATCACATGAATACAATTTAAGCTGAATTGGGTGGATAAAGTAATACAGAAACGAAAAAGGGAAAAGGAGAGATGGATGGGATAAGACTTTTTGTGTTAGTGGAGGCATCAACGTGGCCTTTTTTAGTTTATACACACAATGACACAAACACATGAACGAACGAATGAAGGCGGATAATGGTGGGGCGGTGGGTTCCTGCCAGGCTACCCACCGCATAAGCTGACCATAAAGTCATGGTGACTCATTCAACAAAATGCCAAGCAACAGAAAGAGGAGAGAGAATGCGCTTTTTTTCCGTTGGGCTTTATACGTAAGGCGTGCCCGGGGCATTTAAAGAGAGCAAGAGATCCTTCCCATCAAGTCCTAGAAATTTAGAAATCTAGATCATTAAAATTTGATTTAACAGCTACAATTATTGTAACATTTAAAAAGATTTTCTGTTTGTAGCTATTTGATTAACTTTTAAAATATCATATCTTCGGATTTGATGGGAGAGATCCAGAGGGATCTCTTCCTGAGAGAGAGCGAAAGAGCATTTCCATCCGTTGTCATCGAGAAATTTTTCAATGTTCCCGTTATAATAAAAAAAATCTCGTTGTCTCCAAACTTTTAAAAGCAACCGCCTGTTCGCCACCCTGTGTTGTGTTCCCTCCTCTCACGCTGTAATCATTGAACTCTTAACACGTCATACGGTGTCATCATGGAAAACTAAAAATTTCTTCCTCCTCTTTTACGTTTTTTTAGCAGCAGGGGGTGAACCAAAGATTAAGGATCAAATACGATTTCTTTACATACAAGGCTATATATTTACATCTCCAATAAACAAACAAAAAAACCAACACGCCAGAGATCCAATCCAACAGCTTACCCATGTAATTTACTTCCCCACGTTATTTTAAGTTAATTACATTTTGCACCATGTAACATAAAGCACGAATCAGTTTTGCTGTTCGACGTTCCGTTCCATTTGTCAGACTATCAAAAGCTACAACCGGGACAAGGTACAAGTTTTTACATTAAAAGCAGAGTAGTGATATTCACATTTATTTATTGAATGAATTAAAAAAAATTAATGATCAAAAAATAAAAGAAAACATGTGCGTATTCTTATTTATCTCAAATTGTAATCTTCATTCATTGCCTATAGCCCACAATACAACGCAATCAACTAAACCATAAACCCTAAAGATTTTCATCTGTCCTTGCTGGTGCAGGTGCTGGTGCTGGGGATGCTGCCGCCGGCGGCAGGGCAGACCCACCCAAATTCCTAATCCAAAGCACAACCGGGCAGCAGGGCTGGTGAACAATACAAATTACCAAGGCACACTAAAAAGAAAACAAAACAAAAAAGTAAAGCAAGCAAGGTGCTAATGTATATATGTCAAACAGCACTACCCTACCAAGTAGCAACTCAACCGCCCACATCAACCAAGATACCAAAGTAACATATCATTCATTCAATAATAAGAAATGTAAACCAAGTATCTGAAAGAAATTCAACTAAACAACAACCGCCCATCCAATATAATCAAAACTCAACTTTCATCTCTCATCTCATCCCAATGCATTAATAAACTACCAAAACAATCATAAAATGAACAAATCAAATTAAAATGAAAATTTTAGTTTGGATTGCGATGGGGTAATATCATGTCATATGGAATGAATTTTAGAGGGCTCTGACTGCGGGCAGTCTTCACTGCAGGCGGGTTAGGGGCACCAAACCAGCCAGCGACAGTCCAGAGCCGCCAGCAGCCCTAAAACCCTAAACTACGATGAGAGGCCGAAGGGAGGGTGGCTCGGCCTCAGCCACTCGATTCGATGCCCAGTCCCTGCTCAGATAAGATCAAGTAGTTGAAGCTCTTAGGGTTTCTCTCCTCCATTTTTATATAGTCCTGAAAGGCGGTTGTTTACAGTCGGCCCCTTCTCAACCCACTTTTGGCGGCCCAAAACTAAACGCAGCCCGCGTCTTCCTGTTTAAGCCCATCCTCAATTTTTCATTTTTTTTAATCAGCTGAAAATTAAATCAGAAAAGAAACCCAATACCCAACAATGTGGGTGCGGCATTCACATCTCAACCTTGTCGTCTACATTGTCTCCCTCTGCAGCTTGACCATCATCCTATCCCATTATTGGCTCTTAATCCTCCAGTAACTTAATTGTGCTCATTCCTCAAGTCCTAAGGGTACAAACCTCAATTGACAACTAGTTGCTTGGCGTATACGGTACATCTCACTCCTCATCCGGAGTCAGAGGGGAAGAGAGAAACACCGGGACGGGGAGGGTATTTCCTCAGCCTTGGCCCTTGGCACGATCTCGGTTGAGTGCCATTTAGAATAAATATTAAATTGACAACCTTGTAATTTGTTCCAAGAATAAAATACGAAACCTACGGATACTGTCATTGGGATAAATCCGTGTTCAGCCTTGTATGTATTTCCTGTTTAACAGCACCTACTAGCATTAACATGTACATGAAAGATGGAGAGAAAAGCAACAGCGTTTGAGGAAACTAAAAAGCAATCCAGTATGAAACTGACAATTTTATTGACGGCATAAATAATTATCAAACAATAGTTTGCACACATGTACTTGTGTCTGCCTCAAGCCGACAGAACCTTGATCTGGTGGGCAACTACACAGGTCAAACCTCGATGTTTCTCTCACATGTCTTTTGCGTACATAAAACTATACAACATTACAGAATCGAGGAAGTTCTGGACTTGTGCATCTTCTCATCTTGAGAAGTTGGAGGCAACGAGGATGATGAGACCACTGCATGATAAGATGAAGAAGCAAGTTGGGCCAACGCTGGAACGGCACCCCCTGTAAATTTTCCAAAAGGCATCATTAGATGGCAGTCAAACGGACTTGCACAACTGTAAGATAAGACCTATGTTTTACATGCATTGGATATTGTCCTTGCCTTTGAGCCAGATAGTTTATACCAGCCATTGCATCACTACTATTGTTTCCTGTTAGACTAGACATTAATTCAAAGTTCAAACCAATCAACATCTGAAAGCACCATCTCAATTTGCACCAGTGACAAGCACTAATTTCAAAACTATGCTGTGGTTCACATAGCTGCAGAACTTTTAGTCTCTTTTGTAAGTTCAGTATTTTTGTTCTGGCATATGTCAGATGTACTAACTCGACCATATAATCCAAGTCCCACATACTACTATCAAGTCACTACCTGAAGATTACATTGCACAACTGGTTCCTCAATAATAAACATGTGGTAACAAAGAGGCATGCTGTCTCAGAAACCTAAACATTTACACATGAAAGGCGTTTTCAAAAAATATTTTCTCTAGCAAAATTTAATCATTAGACATTGGTCAAAGTGAAAACTAACCAAAAAGCTCACATCTCATGAACATAGATAATATAACAAGACAATCACTGACCTGCCAAACCTGCACAAGCCGAAGAGAATACAATCACAGGCGGAGCCTACAGTTGCAAAAGGGAGATCTGTGTTATTCATTCTAGCCATTGAAAAAATTAGCAGATACAAATAGTGCAACAAAGAAACTTCAGAAACAACCCAATCCTTCCAAAGTTTTAGGAGCATAAAACCCAATCCATGTCCAACTGATAAAATATAGTCTTGGCAAAGTCTTATTTGCTTTCCTAACCATGATAAATATTCATCACCTGATAATGTGTGCGTTTGTCCGCAAGTGTATAGTTCTATATATTATAATATACCAACGCACTTATATGCTAATTAGTAACTTAATACAGTGCTATCCACTCGTTTGGGTCCACTTAACAATCTGGCATGAAACCCAACTAACACAATGTACTATTTTCTATGTTGACATCAATATATAACCATAAATATTTTAACTATATAAGTTTGGACAGTTCATTTGGTCGAGCATAAAACAACAATGTGTACTGAAACTAAGACATCAAGAATAGCCTCTGACAAAAACATTCCTTGATCTGGTCAAAGTGAAAGAAAGAAAAACCTTGAAATGTGACAAATACAATTTGGATGCATTAGTTATATTCTTGTCCACTTGAACACTCATTCCCCACCCCCCACCCCCCTCTCTTCCTCCTCCCTCCTCCCTCCCTCCTCTCTTCTTCTTCTCTCATTGTTTTATTGTGTTTTTTTTTTTTTTCAATCAAATAGTATCTTTATCAGACATTACAATTTATATCCTAGCTAACTAAGTGCATACGTTTTGTGGCAAATGTACCAGTCAAGAGGGATATAAGTGCTACCAAACCTACTTCCAAAAATACTTTTGTCATGAAGGTAAAGCGTAATTTTCAATAGAAGCACCAGAAATTGTGTCTATCGACTAGCCTCAAAATTGGGACAAGATGTCCGTGAAATCTAGAAGGTAAACATGGCTTCCTACATTCTAATTACGAACAAGATGATTTTTCTCATAAGGAAATCTAATTTATGACAAAACCAATAGTAAGATCAAACAGGGACTTAAATCAAAAGGAAAATCTCATTGTGATCCGGAAGGACGAAATACACAAGATCGAATGATCAAGAACACAAATTAGGACTTTTCATTCCCATAAGAAAACCCTCCCAAAGGATAGCATTATATTCACCCATAGAACACCAACAAAAAAAATGTAAGGTCAGAGACTGCAACTAAGAGGCCACCTATTTCTCTTTCAAAATTAAACTTTATCCTCAACCGTTAGTTCTAATGGTTTGGCAAAAAGAAACCACAAGAAAATCATGTCAGCGAGCACACTATTTCACACTCTACATGCATATGTTTATCATGGACGTACAATTTCATGACACTAGCATGTTCATTTGAGGCGTCAACAATTGGTTTAGCATTTCTAAAGTTTAATTTGAAATCTATTTAACAATGAGAAACTTTTGAAGTTTAAATAATCTGAATTACTTTTAGTTCTACTGATACTGGCATTTTCATCCTTAGTTATATGCAGCGGGATAACTTGTAAAATTGTAAAACATTAAAGAACTTACACCAACAAAAAAATGCAACCACATGGGTCCTTTTACCCATCTTCGAACAATAGGCATCACTGCACCAAGAGACAAAATAACAAAGGTATTAGGAAACAAGCTAAGGAGGGAAACATTTAACGAGGATGATGTCCATCCTATCCTATGCCAACAGAATAAATAAAAAAAACACTGTAACTACAGCAAGGTAAGAAGAGAGCAAAGTTATTTTCAACACTCCACCAGGTCGATAAGAGAAGGATGTTTCACATACATTAGAATGAAAAACAGAAACAAAATTATAGACATTGAAGCCTAAGAAGACGCCAAAAAGCAAAATTTATTGCACAATCCTTGTCAAAGCATTTAAGAAATTATGCAAATAATCTTTACTAAAGAAAACGAATAATGGATTACCATGGTTGAATCCATAAAAAGCACTTGCTGTGCCACCAACAGCAGAGCCAATCTGTACCGTAAAACCGAAATAAATTTCACTGACAGTCGACAGACCATATATTGAATTTGAGACGAGGGAGGCAGATAAAATTAGAAAAGAAGAAAAGATTACCATGGAAAAGCTATCCCTAATAAGAGGTGCAACAGTCCACTCACTCGTTTCCATCTTCTTAGAAAGAGGACCTGCACAATGGTGGCATCTCATGCCAGTACTAGTTTCAGGTTTGGAATCGGCCATCGCTCTTTTTCTCTAATAGATAGACTTCTTGAATTTAAACAGGCACCAGATCTTCCTTCACAATGAACGCCTGTAAAAAAGTTCATCATTCACTAAATAAAATATGTTATGTTTCTGCCTCCGTCCATGATGATTCCTTAGGCCCTTCAAACAAAATAAATCAAAGAAATTTGAACCTCAATCCAGCTATTGCTAATTTTCTGTACAAGAATCAAACTATCAGATACAACCAGAAAAGTGACGACATTTGAGATTTCTACCTGCCACTCTGAATAAGGAGTGGGGTCGCCACCGATGCGATCAGATATTCAGATGGCTCCGCTCACGGGGTTGGGTCATGCTGTGCTGTCACGTTTGTTTTACTTTGTCCTTTTTTTTTTTTTTGTTGCCTTTGCCGAATCGATAATCACAAGGAAGATCACAAGCTCTGCGTTTGGGGTTTCTCCACCTCCAGAGAAAGAATCGACTCTGGAATCGGAATTGTTCGGGTTCACAAGCTCTGCGCACTTCTTTTCATATATAATCTCTGTAAAATTCAATTTGAAAGGTAATAACCATGAATTCGTTCGTAAGAGTCAGACTAAGGATGTTTAATCCCCATAATTATATTCAGAAACAACGCTCCATGGAAAAGGTCGATAGAGATTTATTACCACAAGATTTGTATCATGAATTTCCAAATATGCAAAGAAGCACACAAATGCCCAGGGTGTCACAATTAACATGGAATATGGATACGAAAATGTCCAGAAATCATACTAAAATACAATTCTGCAAAATCTTTCAAAAATACAGAACCTAGAATTAACATACTAAAAGAAATTCCCGAAGGTCCTTGCACTCTACACCCAATCCAGCAATGCTGAGAATTAGTTACTATATAACCATCCAACTGACACTCAACTCGACTAACCACTTATCCAAAATGATGGGATCGGTCCTAAACCATTTTTATTCCAATGATTTATCCAGAGGAAATGAACAACCCCATAACATATATGAAAATCGTTTGCTTCCTCGCCAATTAGATCCTTAAGAAACTCAAATCAAATAAACTAGACCTAGGACACAAAACCATCACTTCTTCCCATAACCATTACTATATGGTCTCTAATGCTGCTCATTTAGTCTACTGGATACGATTGATCAAACCCTAAATTGGAAAGCAAACCTGAGCCGGATAACTGATATACTTCAACACTTTGATCCCCATAGCGGGTCCAATCGTATTAGTAATTCCAGCATAGGTGCGCCTCCAGCATTACTGCTAGACCAAAGCTTTAACACTACTCAGAGAAAACCACATGACAATATTATCGCTCAATTCATTTTTTCAGCTCAAATCAATCCACATTACAAGAAATTCAAGATTTTTCAGAAAGATTGGAACTTACTTATATATGACCAGATTAGACAAACCACATTCTGAGCCAGGTTCAGGAACGCAAACCACAAACAGACCACTTATCAAATACAATTCCCAAGCACAAGTTCAACTAGTGAAACCAAGAAAACTAACTTATTTTCTCATAATCATCCTATTTTCCCAGAAAATTGAAAATTTCCATGGAAAAATCAAGAAAACGAAAAAGTAAAACCCAAACAAAAAAAAATCAAAAATCAAAGATCTACAGAGAGCAAGATCGAACCTGAAACCTGGAGATGCAGAGCTTTGAGTTCCACTCCGTGGGGAAGAGAAAACAGAGGCCACGGGAGAGGACGAGGAGGAAGGTTGCGAGAGAACTGGGAGAAAGAAGGCAGCGGCAGAGAAGATGGAAAGAACGTTAGGTAGAATTTTAGGGTTTGTTTTAAGATTTTGGTAGTGTAAATATTAAAAAAGATGAGGGGCATTTTTGTCTTAAAATTTTATAATGGTGTTCCGCAGGGTGGAACGAGTCGTTCCAGGGTAAAAGGTGGAACAGAAAAAGGTGCAAATTTCGTTCCGTGGGATAGCGCATCCCATTGTCTTTGGCGCACCAAATGTGGGACGAACGTGTTCCGTCCCACTGTGTTCTGCCTCATCCCACGTATCAAACAGTATCATAGGGACAGATTGTAGACATCGAAATTTCAGTGAAATAAATGTTAACCAATACAACACTTATTTCACCTATATCATTCCCTCACTTCACCAACAACCTCCACTCATTTCACCTACATCATCCATTTACCTTACCTACAACCTCCACTCACTTCACCTACAACCTCCACTCACTTCACCTACATCATCCACTCACTTCACCAAAAAAATGGATGGTGGTGATTCACTCTCAAAGCCTATAAATAGGTTTCTCCATCAAGAGGAATAGACACACAGAGACCAATTCACAAATACATTTCTCTACTCCCAAAATGGAAGAGAATACTCCCCACACATCCAAAATCCTTAAAGCTTTGAAACTCTAAAGCTCTCAAGCATCCAACCCCCAAATTCCCAAGAATCCCGAAGAATGGAGAAAGCACTCTTCATTCTTCGTCAAATCCTCCTTCAAGATCAAGCCCCGACGGCCCTTGAAGAACTTCCACCAACTCAAGATCAAGCCCCGACGGCTCTTGAAGAAAGTGTTCATCGTTCATCCTAAGATCAAGCCCCAACGGCCCTTTGGATCAACAGCACAAACAAATCTACACATCCAATCGTTCTTCAAGATTAAGCCCAAAAGCCCTTGAAGATCCGCTCATCCATCAACTTTCAAGATCAAGCCCAAAAGCCCTTGAAGAAGTCCACACAACCATTATTCAAGATCAAGCCCCAACGGCCCTTGAAGAAAGTGTTCATCGTTCATCATCCGTTCATCCTTCAAGATCAAGCCCCAACGGCCCTTGAAGAACTTCCACCAACTCAAGATCAAGCCCCGACGGCCCTTGAAGAAAATGTTCATCGTTCATCATCCGTTCATCCTAAGATCAAGCCCCAACGGCCCTTTGGATCAACAACCTCAACAAATCCACACATCCAATCGTTCTTCAAGATTAAGCCCAAAAGCCCTTGAAGATCCGCTCATCCATCAACCTTCAAGATCAAGCTCAAAAGCCCTTGAAGAAATCCACACAACCATTATTCAAGATCAAGCCCCGACGGCCCTTGAAGAAAGTGTTCATCATTCATCATCCGTTCATCCTAAGATCAAGCCCCAACGGCCCTTTGGATCAACAACCTCAACAAACCCACACACCAAAACCTTGAAGCCTTAAAGTTCTAAAGCTCTCAAGAAAATCCCGAAGGATCAAGAAAGCACTCTTCGTTCTTCGTCAAATCCTCCTTCAAGATCAAGCCCCAACGGCCCTTGAAGAACTTCCACCAACTCAAGATCAAGCCCCGACGGCCCCTTGAAGAAAGTGTTCATCATTCATCATCCGTTCATCCTAAGATCAAGCCCCAACGGCCCTTTGGATCAACAACCTCAACAAACCCATACACCCATTCTTCAAGATCAAGCCCAACGCCCCTTGAAGATTCATTCATCATCCGTTCATCCTAAGATCAAGCCCCAACGACCCTTTGGATCAACGACCTCAACAAACCTATACACCCATTCTTCAAGAACAAGCCCAACCCCCCTTGAAGATCCGTTCATCCAAGATCAAGCCCCGACGGCCCTTGGATCAACAAACAAATCCACACATCTATTCTTCAAGATCAAGCCCAAAAGCCCTTGAAGAAAACCAACTGTTCATTCAAGATCAAGCCTCGACGGCCCTTGAAGAAAACCAACCGTTCTTCAAGATTAAGCCCAAAAGCCCTTGAAGATCCGCTCATCCATCAACCTTCAAGATCAAGCCCAAAAGCCCTTGAAGAAATCCACACAACCATTATTCAAGATCAAGCCCAAAAGCCCCCTTGAAGAACTTCCACCAACTCAAGATCAAGCCCCGACGACCCTTGAAGAAAGTGTTCATCGTTCATCCTAAGATCAAGCCCCAACGGCCCTTTGGATCAACAGCACAAACAAATCCACACATCCAATCGTTCTTCAAGATTAAGCCCAAAAGCCCTTGAAGATCCGCTCATCCATCAACCTTCAAGATCAAGCCCAAAAGCCCTTGAAGAAATCCAAACAACCATTATTCAAGATCAAGCCCCGACGGCCCTTGAAGAAAGTGTTCATCATTCATCATCCGTTCATCCTAAGATCAAGCCCCAACGGCCCTTTGGATCAACAACCTCAACAAACCCACACACCAAAACCTTGAAGCCTTAAAGTTCTAAAGCTCTCAAGAAAATCCCGAAGGATCAAGAAAGCACTCTTCGTTCTTCGTCAAATCCTCCTTCAAGATCAAGCCCCGACGGCCCTTGAAGAAAGTGTTCATCGTTCATCCTAAGATCAAGCCCCAATGGCCCTTTGGATCAACAGCACAAACAAATCCACACATCCAATCGTTCTTCAAGATTAAGCCCAAAAGCCCTTGAAGATTCGCTCATCCATCAACCTTCAAGATCAAGCCCAAAAGCCCTTGAAGAAGTCCACACAACCATTATTCAAGATCAAGCCCCAACGGCCATTTGGATCAACAACCTCAACAAACCCATACATCCATTCTTCAAGATCAAGCCCAACGCCCCTTGAAGAAAGTGTTCATCATTCATCATCCGTTCATCCTAAGATCAAGCCCCAACGGCCCTTTGGATCAACAACCTCAACAAACCCATACATCCATTCTTCAAGATCAAGCCCAACGCCCCTTGAAGATCCGTTCATCAACTGTTCATCCTTAGATCAAGCCCCGACGGCCCCTTGGATCAACAAACAAATCCACACATCTATTCTTCAAGATCAAGCCCAAAAGCCCTTGAAGAAAACCAACTGTTCATTCAAGATCAAGCCTCAACGGCCCTTGAAGAAAACCAACCGTTCTTCAAGATCAAGCCCAAAAGCCCTTGAAGATCCGCTCATCCATCAACATCCAAGATCAAGCCACGAAGGCCCTTGAAGAAACTTACAACTGTTCATCCAAGATCAAGCCTCGACGGCCCTTGGATCAACAAATCTACATCTTACGGAGATTGAATCAGAGGACCAAATTTGAGAGATCGTAACCCCAAAATCATTAAACACAAAAATATTATTTTGTACACGTTATTCTTGTTTCTTGTTTTCAGGAATTTTTCGTGTTCACACAGATGTCAACCAATTAGGCTTGTGAAGTTGGAGGTGGATTGTCTGCACTACCATTTCCATATTCTCCCCATGCCCTCCTGTTTATGTGGTCACGGTTAAGCCACATCAACATTTTATATTCCTATTACTTTTTGTTTTATTATTTCTATAAAAGATTAATATAAAATGTTGACGTGGCTTAACCGTGACGACATATCACAGGAGGGCATCGGGAAAGTATGGAAATGCGAGGGCAGACAATCCACCTCCTGTGAAGTTGGTCGCAGCAGAATTGAACTCGACTGGGACAAGGCCGGGCCTTGAGTATTTCAGTGAGCTGGTTAGGACTGGGCTTTGAGTTCTTGTATGGTTGGTACAACACTTTAGGGCAAAACTTTACAGAGAAATTTTTCCAATAATCAGTATTCAAGCGAGTACTTCATTTGTTATAAAATAAGTGGAGCAACATAGAAAAATTACCTCCTCTTATATTATGACATGTGAAATACCACTTAAATACCTAGTACTTGAAAAAATCCTTCATTTTTATGACCCTTTGATGATTTTTAGCTCCTTTTTTGGGATCGTGAAAGCATTGAGTTGAAATATCATCCCCTTTTTTAGGGATCATGAAAACGTTAGTTGAGTTCAAGTATTGTTTGGGGACTGAAGTTGTTAGATCATATAATATGACAACGTTTTATCTCAAGAGAAGAAGTAGGCCCTAGATTTGTCAACAAAAATTGCTATGTTGGACTACAAGTACTCCAGTTGATCCTAAACACAAATTGGCATGTGGGGAGATTCATCTATCTGTGTCATACCTAGTCTGATAATGGCTTATGCAGCTAGTGTGATGACTAAACGACCGTCGTTCCAAATGAATTTTTTTGTAGTGAATTTTTAAATGATGATAAGAAAATAAACGTATGCAATTATGTAATTTTGTAGAGTGAAAATACAATAATCGTCAAAGATGAATAACATGGAGCCAAAAATATTCACAAAGCGACATGTGAATTTTTGGATTAAGAAGACAAAAATACCCTTGGGGTGTATCAAGATTCCTACGCGCGAGTAGCAGACAATCATCCTCAACCAAGTCAGAAATGCCCAAAATAGGTAACAATTCAAAACCTATTTCATTCCATATATTTCTTACCTCTTTTTCCCTCTTTTAGCTAATCAATTAGCTATCATTACATAACCTTCAAAATATTAATTCCAAAAATATGTTAATTGACTAATTAATGGATTAATTACCTAATTAATCCATTAAATGTCAATTAAGTCACCCAATTAACCACAAAATATACCCCCAAATCCCAAAAGGCCGGCCACCCTTGTTGATCTCATCATATTTACCTATTTAATCATACTAATTAGCTAGTTAATTTGGCAATAATTCTATTTGCTAAATTAACTAGTCAATTATTCCCATAACTCCTAAATTCAACCTAAATCAAGAATCTAGCCCACAAAAGAAGCTAGGTGGCCGGTCCTCTCTCACCCAAAGAGGCCGGCCATTCACCTATAAAAAGCTCTCCATACTCTCCCAAAAAGCCCCTTCCAATTCTCTTGCTAAAATTCTCTAAAATTCTCAAACACTTTCTCTCTAAATTCTAACTTTGGCATCTGAGGTTCTTCGGCCAAAGCCCCCCCCAATTCATCGTGGGCGCGTGAGGCTCTTGGCCTTG